ATTTATTAACAATCGAAACACTTAACGATCCTTCGTTAAATATATTTTTACAAGATCGTGTTAAATTACGGAACAGAACTATAAAACTGATTCTTTGGAACGTTATTTTGCGAATTCGGTATTTCAAATTCGATATTCTCCAGTCGCCAACGTAGCCAGTTTCCAGGTATCCAGTGACGTTACCATAAAAATATTCCAAAGCAAGAACACGCGAGTTCTCCTAGCTCCAGCCTCCGCGAAGCGTGATATTTCTTGGAAACGCGACGCTTTCATCGGCTGATTCGTCAACAAAGGGGATGGAAAGCGTAGTTAAATAGTGGGGCGCGAAAGACAAGCACGTCATACTCGTTTTTACACGGTCGCCATTTTACGTTTTGCTACCACGCGCTGGTTGCAGCTGTCTAACTATTTTACAACGATCAAAAATATTTTTAAAGCCAATTATTTCCACTTAAAATTTGCATTTATACCCTCGTTCGTGTATGGAGTATCTGTACAATTTGTACTTTGAATTGTATATCTTGCATTTGTAACTTGTATTTATAAATTGTATTTATAAGTTATATTTATATATTGTATTTACAAGTTATATTTATATATTGTATTTATGAGTTATATTTATAAATTGTATTTGTTAGTTGCACTAATAACTTCTATTCGTCAGTTGTATTTACAAATTGTATTTATATGTAGATTTAGTTGTACCTTAATATGTATGTTAATTGTACGTATTAACTTACAAATATAAATTGTAAAGACAAGTTATAAGTATCAGTTATAAATTCAAGTTGTAAATGCAGGCTATAAGCACAACTTAAAATACGTATAATTATATGCAAGATATAAGTACAATTTCTAAAGTTATAAATGCAAGGTATAGGTACAACTTAAAGTACATATACTTATAAATGCAAGGGATAATTGTAACTTAAAGTACAAATAATTATATATATTTGTAATTTATATAGTTATTTATATTGTATAGTTACATGTACTTTAAGTTGTACTTATACCTTATACCTTGCATTTACAATTTGAATTTATAAGTTGTACTTATAACTAGCATTTATAATTTATATTTGAAAGTTACTACATATAAATAACAAACATATTAAATTACAATTAAATACATATAAATAAAATTTGTAAACACAGCTCACAAATAAAAGTCATAAGTGCAGCTTACAAATATAAATTGTAAATACAACTTATAAATACAAGCTATAAATTAAAATACAAATTCTATATCAAGTACTACGTACACCAACAAGATATAAGTATAAATAAAACACAGATTGTGGACAGTAAAATAACTGTATAGAAACCATTTTGTTTCACACCGTCAAACATCGTCAAGCCTAATCAGTCGTACCAAGAATTCAATTTGATCGTGTTCGAAGGAACAGTCGACTGAATATTGACCCAACGAATTGAAAATTTGAAAGGCGTCGGGGCAGAAAATTATTTTTTCCGTGCAGTCGAGAGGGAGCCTAGTTAGCGAAGTTTGTATCACCCTTCTATCTCCGACTGCGTTATTCAAAGAGAATCCTGTGCTCGCCGAATTCGCGGCACCCTTCGTCACGACGGAAAGAAGAGTACGACGACGCTTGGAAAGAAAGAAAAAAAAAAACGAAAAAATATATCCGTCGAAGGGAACGGTGCGCGACACGAGCACGAGACGACCACCAACGAGTCTTTCTTGCTCCCACCCCCGTCGAGTTCTCGTTTACCAGCGTTTTCTTTGGGCAACGTTAACGCCCTCGTGAAGTTTTCTTTCTTTTTCCCGTTCACGGTCCCCTCTCTCTTGTTGCCCTCCCGCTCTCCACCCTTTTCACTCTCGTTTTCCAGCGAAAGTACGCGTTTTTGGCACGCGATCCGGTTGCATGCTTACGAAAACTACGCGATGGAATTCCCGTTTGGAATTTTGACGACCCGCTAATAAGATGCCCCGAATCGTTTCCCGTTTAATTTCCAAACGTTCGCGCGGCCACGCTAGGAAACACATTTTTATAATTTTAGCCAATATTTATATTGGAAACCGAAGGAGAAAGTTGGACGTAGACTACGTAATAAATTTGTGGTGGTGCATTAGAGAATAATCTTTATTTTCACGGTATAAACAAAATTAATATTAATTAACTGAATGCAAAAGTAAAATATAATGTTTTAAAATTTTTTAATAATTTTTTAACGAAGCCTCAATGAACAAATCGATATTTCTTAAAAATTCGTTTTTCATTTTTAATAAATTTGTTTGATACCCTACAGAAAAGTTGTCTAATACTTTTTTGTAGCTACCCATGAGCTCTACGTCAGAAAAAAGTTTCATTGAAATATATTCACTATTGTAGAAGTTGTGGACGTTTAAAAATTGGACCATTTTTATGGGGTCTTTCTTATTTTGCGGCGTCAAGGAACAAGTTTTCGAATATTTTTGCAACTTCTACATATTCTTCACTAAAATACGCGTTGATTGCTTTTTGAAACCTTAAAATCGTCCAATCCGTTCAGGAGTTATGACGTTTTAAAGATTCACAAGACATTTTGGGGTAACATTTTTGGTCAGAAATTATATTTTCGATAAGGAATTTTTTTCTCGAAACTGAATAGGATTTCGGAGGTATATGTAATGACCAAAAATGATTGTAATTAACCTTTGTAATTAAATATAATTTTTTTAGTATGATTTGAAATTTTTTAATTTCGTCTAAAAATTTCAATACCTACTCGAATTTTTTTCTCGAAACTGGGTAGGAATTCGGAGGTACATATGTGTATTCACCAAAAATGATTGTAATTGACCTCCGTAATTAAATATAATTTTTTTAGAACGATTTGAAATTTTTTAATTTCGTCTAAAAATTTCAGTACGTACTCGAATTTTTTTCTCGAAACTGGGTAGGATTTCGGAGTTATGTGTAATAACCAAAAATGATTGTAATTGACCTGTGTAATTAAATATAATTTTTTTAGTATGATTTGAAATTTTTTAATTTCGTCTAAAAATTTCAGTACCTACTCGAATTTTTTTCTCAAAACTGGGTAGGATTTCGAAGATATGTGTATTCACCAAAAATGATTATAATTGACTACCAGAGCCGAAAATAATTTTTCCAGAAGGATTTGAAATTTTTGAATTTAATTGTTAATAACTTTTTAACGAAGCCTCAGTCAAGAAATTGATATTCTTGATTTTCGTTTTATTTTGGCCTCAAGAATCTCCCATTAAAATTTTTCCCAGGTCGAACACCTTGTATAATTCTAGAATTAATAAATAAATAATTTTATACGGTATTTGAAACAGGAATCGATTTTGATGATCCCAGGAACTCGTATATTATGTCCTTTCGTAAATATACATTGTGGAAAAGATTTCCAGTTGCCCTTTCCTAATTTAGATAACACAGTTATAATTACCGGCTGTTGTATTGGTGTATCTCGAGTCGAAAACACGGAACGCTTTCTATTCTCCGTAGTTTTCGTTTTGATTCGCCGCGCACGGAAGAAGTGGCGGTACAGAGAAACTTTTCAAAACAAACAGTTCTCAGAAAGAGTGTTTCGCCCAGATCGTGGAACAATAACATAGTCGGCCGATGGCCGTGACGAGATAGTAACCTCATGTTTCAGCACTCGTTCGTTGGAAATGACGAATACTTCTCGTTACACGTACTATCTTTGTTTAAATTACTCACGTCGTCGTTATCGATCGTCGTACTCATGGTACGCGTCATTCTAACACGTTGAATTTAAAATTCATAAAATTTTCGACGAGGCTACTTTTATTTTCAGAAAATTGAATACTGCTTAATTAAAAATTTGTCGTAACTATTTTTGTAAGATTTATTTCACTTAACGTTTCATCATGAGACTCAATTTTTTTTGGTTCTGAATGAAATATTTATTTCAAGTTTTTGACTTTCGGAATACTGTAGGTATCTAAGATGGTACAAATTGAAATTAATTATTATAACTCCTTTTTTCATTTCAATCCATCAGGTACTTAGTGTTGGTTGAAAATTATTTCTAGTAAAGAATAAAAAGACAAGTTTGAATTGTTTAATTATACCATTAGAATCAATACTCTTCAAACGATTGTTATATAAATGTGATTAAAAGAGCCCATTTGTGTGACCAAAACAGAGTGTACCCACCCATCAATTTAATTAAAAAAAGTGAATAGTTGTAAGCGTTAAATCGTCGTTTCAAATCTGTATTTTGATGTGTTTGGTGTGTCGCTGTGATGTATACAAGATCCCTCTCTCTCTGAATAGAAAGGACATTGATAACAGCTCCCGAATTTTGGTGAGCGACCGGCAGTTGTGAACGTTCCGAGCTATTGACAAGGTCTCTACAAATAACAAACGCTTACAGACCGCGCAGAAGTCTACACTTTATTTGCCAAATCAGTTCTCCAAATAACTATTATATTTCCCTACATCGTCGCATCCCGTTTATCATTTTAACACATTGACTGCCACGTCATCCATATATGGGTGACATGAATTTTCATCGATCAGCTAAACAAATTATTTCTCAAGATTACATGTCAAAGGAAATAAATTTTGATGGGACACTTAAATTTTAACGAGGCTGTAAAAATAAGTTCTATGACAAATCGTGGATATGCCAGTTTCCAATTATCCAAAAAAGAGTATCCTTTTCGTAGACAATTTGAGGGATTTGGTCTGGCAGTCAACGTGTTAAACATATTCCCCTACATAGTAATAAATAACTTCAAGAATAGACCTTCCTTCCTACCCCAAATTAATTGTCAGTTATAATTGGACAAAGTAATGAGAAGAATAAATTAGAACGCAACTTTTGCACCGTTCCTTAGCGAAAGGAATGCTGAGAACGATGCTGGTCAATTTGTGGAACCTAATAGCCAGCGTAATCATAGTCGGAGGTATCGTTCAAACGAGCCGGGAAACGATTTCAGTCTGAATGACACTAACGACTCCATCGAGACGTTGTTTTCTAAATTGATCTCTTTGTTCCAGATTGCCGTCTCCGTACAATAAGCAGTCGGCCGTCGGTGGGGCAGGTGGCGGACCCGGCGGTGGAACCAGTATACCTTTACCTGCCACCGTAGCTGCCACCAGGAGGTGTCCCCCGGATAAAGTTAGGCCAGCACCAACACCGACCCATCAATCGCAGCTCGGTAAGTCCACTATCGTTTTAACCGCCGTGAGAAACTTTGGAAAGGATCGATCAGAACGCAGACACGGTTCTCTAAATAACATTGTTGTCTTCAACCCTCCTTCCTCGTGAATTTCTTTTCTAATTATTTTGGTACAATATTATTTAGTCATGATACATAACGACTGAAGAAATATTTTTATTTGGAGTAGGAAAGGATTAGGGACTTTAATGTGGAGTAGTTTTTGTTCTAGAGCAGTCTATTTATTGAAATAATGAAAATTCTTGAGCTTTCTAAACTTTGAGCCCCTAAATTTGTTTTTCAAAGATTTTGGTGTAATATTATTTAGTCATGATACATAACGACTGCAGAAATATTTTTATTTGGGTTTAGTATAGGATTAGGGACTTTTATGTGGAGTAGTTTTTCTTCTAGAGAAGTCTATTTATTAAAATAATGACAATCTTTTAGCTTTTGAGACTTTCACCTCCCATGAATTTGTTTTTCAAATATTTGGGTATAATATTATTTAGTCATGGTATATAACCACTGCAAAAACATTTTTATTTGGATTTAGTAAAGAATTAAGAACGTTAATGTGGGGTAGTTTTTGTCCTAGAGGAATCTATTTATTAAAATAATGACAATCTTTTAGCTTTTGAAACTTTCACCCCCTGAATTTGTTTTCCAAATGTTTTGGTATAATATTATTTAGTCATGGTATATAACGACTGCAGACATATTTTTATTTGGATTTAGTAAAGAATTAGAGGATTTAATGTGGGATAGATTTGTCCTACAGAAGTTTCTTTATTAAAATAATGAAAATTCTTAAGCTTTTTAAACTTTGAACCCTTAAATTTGTTTTTCAAATATTTTGATACAATATTACTCAGTCATGGACCTCAACCACTGCAAAAACATTTTTATTTGGATTTAGTAAAGAATGGGGAATGTTAATGTGGGGTAGTTTTTGTCCTAGAGGAGTCTATTTATTAAAATAATGACAATCTTTTAGCTTTTGAGACTTTCACCCTCCGAATTTATTTTTCAAATATTTTGGTATAATATTATTTAGTCATGGTACTCAATCACTGCAAAAACATTGTTATTTAGATTTAGTAATGGATTAGAGGATTTAATGTGGGGTAGTTTTTGTCCTAGAGAAGTCTATTTATTGAAATAATGATAATTTTTTAGCTTTTTAAATTTTGACCTCTTAAATTTATTTTTCAAACATTTTGATGTAATATTAAATTCAGTCATGGCATCCTGCGACTACAAAAACATTTTTATTTGGATTTAGTAAAGAATTACAGGATTTAATGTGGGGTAGATTTGTCCTACAGAAGTTTCTTTATTAAAATAATGAAAATTCTTAAGCTTTTTAAACTTTGAACCCTTAAATTTGTTTTTCAAATATTTTGATACAATATTACTCAGTCATGGACCTCAACCACTGCAAAAACATTTTTATTTGGATTTAGTAAAGAATGGGGAATGTTAATGTGGGGTAGTTTTTGTCCTAGAGGAGTCTATTTATTAAAATAATTACAATCTTTTAGCTTTTGAGACTTTCACCTCCCATGAATTTGTTTTTCAAATATTTGGGTATAATATTATTTAGTCATGGTATATAACCACTGCAAAAACATTTTTATTTGGATTTAGTAAAGAATTAAGAACGTTAATGTGGGGTAGTTTTTGTCCTAGAGGAATCTATTTATTAAAATAATGACAATCTTTTAGCTTTTGAAACTTTCACCCCCTGAATTTGTTTTCCAAATGTTTTGGTATAATATTATTTAGTCATGGTATATAACGACTGCAGACATATTTTTATTTGGATTTAGTAAAGAATTAGAGGATTTAATGTGGGATAGATTTGTCCTACAGAAGTTTCTTTATTAAAATAATGTAAATTCTTGAGCTATTAAAACTTTGAACACTTAAATTTGTTTTTCAAATATTTTGATACAATATTAATCAGTCATGAACCTCAACCACTGCAAAAACATTTTTATTTGGATTTAGTAAAGAATGGGGAATGTTAATGTGGGGTAGTTTTTGTCCTAGAGGAGTCTATTTATTAAAATAATTACAATCTTTTAGCTTTTGAGATTTCCACCCCTTGAATTTGTTTTTCAAATATTTTGGTATAATATTATTTAGTCATGGTACTCAATCACTGCAAAAACATTGTTATTTAGATTTAGTAATGGATTAGAGGATTTAATGTGGGGTAGTTTTTGTCCTAGAGAAGTCTATTTATTGAAATAATGATAATTTTTTAGCTTTTTAAATTTTGACCTCTTAAATTTATTTTTCAAACATTTTGATGTAATATTAAATTCAGTCATGGCATCCTGCGACTACAAAAACATTTTTATTTGGATTTAGTAAAGAATTACAGGATTTAATGTGGGGTAGATTTGTCCTACAGAAGTTTCTTTATTAAAATAATGAAAATTCTTGAGCTTTTAAAACTTTGAACCCCTAAATTTGTTTTTCAAATATTTTCATACAATATTAATCAGTCATGGACCTCAACCACTGCAAAAACATTTTTATTTGGATTTAGTAAAGAATGGGGAATGTTAATGTGGGGTAGTTTTTGTCCTAGAGGAGTCTATTTATTAAAATAATTACAATCTTTTAGCTTTCGAGACTTCCACCCCTTGAATTTGTTTTTCAAACATTTTGGTAAAATATTGCTCACTCATGTGAGTTGTCTAGAGAGTGAAAGAAGTAAAAAATAAATGGTACCATTCTCACCCGTTAAGGGTTAAATATAGATCAGAAATATGTGACAAAATTCATTACAAAAGTGTCATAATTAGACTGCGGATTTTTATGCAAATTCATATTTTGATTAATAGAATTAACGGAATGAGAGCTTTGTAGAGGGTTGTTTCAATCCCTAAATATATTAATTCGTATCTTGCTTTAAGTATTCCTAATATTTTTGCGTATTAAGTGCACTCTGTACTTTTTTGAAAATTAAAATTTCCCATAAATGCATAAACATCCGCAGTCTAGTTTTCGTTTTCATCCTAAAGAACACACGACAAATTGGCCAAACTAGAATACTTCATCAAGAGGGAATAAAATCTTGTATAATCTTGTATACTATCATTATGTTTTTTAAAATCCGTTACAAAAGTGTTATAGTTTTCGTTTTTTATTCTAAAGAACACATGAAAAATTTGACCAAACTACTCCCTTAAAGAAGGGTTGAAATCTTGTATAATATTTCAGTGTTAATAATGAGTCTGCTATTTGATCTATCCAATCGCTGCTGATTGAAATATCGATTGAAACAGAATTTTTGAATAAATCTCGAGGCTCCGCGGGAAAAACGCGATGGAGGTCCCTGGAAAATTAATAAACTCCCCGGAATAAAATTGCGAGTGCGACGCGCGTTGCATCGCGAAAGGGGAAACCAGAGCTTAACACGAGAAAATGAAAGCAAATGTCAGAAACAGATACTGCACGCATTAAAAGATTATGTCTGGATATTATTTCGTGACGGCTGTTCGCGGTATCCTAGCAGCTAATGGAAAATGACTTTCCATTAAAACCAAGTTGTCCGAAGGAAACAAAGGGAAGTTACAAAACAATACCGCTGCTTCTGCCGACAGACCCTTCCTTGGCTTATCACTTCTCATTTTGCCAAAGCATTTCTGAATTATATTCTCGTCTCGGAGAACCTCTACAAACGCTCGAATCAAACAATGCTTGTGGAACGAACGAACCCCATTTTTTAGTCGATTTGTTGTAAAATAGCTTTTAAATAATGTTCGTGACGGGAACAAACTCAATTTTTCTAGGTTTATTTGATAGAGCAATTTTGCTCCGTTGGTTGTAGAATGTTTCCATTTTTATATTTATTTAACGAATAACATTGTTCATCGTATTATGGTACACCGAGAAGCTCATGTAATTATCATTGTCTTAGTAGATACACTTTTCTAGGACAAGAGTAATTCCGCATTATTATCTCCAATTATTTTTTAAACCGAAATAAAAATTGATTTTTACACTTTTCTAGAATAGAACTTAATCCGTTTCTAAACTGAAATATAAATTCTGTCACGTTCATTGTGTATATCACAATATTCTAACAAGCTCAAAAATTACCATCGTTTCAATAACTAGACTTTTCTGGAACAGAAACTACCGCACAGTTAATATAAATTTTGCGAATATTAAAAATATTTTCGAGGGTATATACACACAGAAAACAAAGATTCGCTTTTTCGAATGTTCTTGACTAGAACACACCCAAAAATTATCATCGTTTCAATAAATAGACATTCCTGAAACAGAAACCACCCCACAGTTAATATAAATTTTGTGAATATTAAAAATATTTTCGAGGGTATGTACACACAGAAAACAAAGATTCGATTTTTTTAAGGTTCTGGACTAGAACACACCCTTAAAAAAAAATCAATTCTCCTTCGAAACGACCTAAACCCTCATCTTGAACGCGTTTCGTAGCTTGGTGACGTTCTTAGCACCCCGAGCTTACTCTTTAAGACACAAAGATTCGACGAGGGTGTCAAGCGGCATAGTAGATTCGGTGGCACGTTAAGAACACCCCATTAGCCATTAGCGCCGTGAATGGCTTTTAACAACCCTTTGCGCATTTCTGGCTGCCGCGAGGATCCTGGACCACCACCATGGAAACTGGCTTCCATGGGGGTACGCGAACGTGTCCCTTTTAAATATATGGGCTCTCTTGTCCGTGCGTCGACCTTGTTCTCTCTTTCCACCCCTCACACTAACTCACCCTCTGTTACGCGTACTCGTACATTATTACACCCTCCCCATCCTCTCTACGCATGCATCCATCGCTCATTCTATTTCGCGTAGATATACGCAACATCGTTTGACGAAAGTGCGTTCTATTCCGGGGGCCCATATGCGTGTATCCGAGCCTCGATTACCCCCCTTTCGTGAGCTCGTGTCACAAAACCTACAGTGAAAGGGGGGAAAATTCAGATTTTTTGGTTTCC